TTACTACGCTGATGGACAGTGACTAATGGGGTATGTGGGGGGGACTTTGTGAAGGGGGGAGTCTAGTAAACATAATGTTCCTCATGTAATTGTAGATTCATGATACCAAAATTAAAAAAAAAACAAAAAAACTGAGGCTTGAGGAGGGGATGTCATTCAGTTACACAGCATGAGTAAAATTTGAACCCCCATCATCAGTGACTCCTACAGCCCTGTCTCCTGCGTGGGGGTGGGGAGTGGCAGAACCCAGTGACTTCCGTGTGTGTCTTCTTTGTCTTTCAGGAGCCACAGGTCAATGGGAGTGAGAGTGGAGCATTCCTGTGAGAGTCCCCCAAGGACAGAGCCCACCTGCAGCCAGCCGAATGGGCATTCCACCCCATGCCCAGCGGAGGAGTCCAGCCCCTGAGATGCATTAAATGCCTTCTGGGAAGTACAGTGTGAGATTTCTTGTGGTGACAAGAGCCTTCGTGCTGGGAATAGGAGGTGGCAGGTGGATAGACGGCTTGTCCCCACATCCCCCAGGAGCTCTGGATGTTCTGGCTGCCCCTGCCCAGCACACACAGCTGTGCTTTTGCTCCTGCGCTTTTTGTGAGTGGTGGGACATCTCACAGAGCAGCAGCTGCCCCCCACCCCCACCTCAGTCTCCAACAATTCAAGTCTCCGAGAAATTCAAGAGTGAATAGGGCAGAATGGCCCTCTGTCTTTGAGAACTTGCAGCCTGGTTTTTAGGCAGGGGGTGGGAAACAGAACCTTTAAAGGGGCACATAGATCAACACCATAACACATGGGCTGCACAAGGCCGCCAGATCAAGTAACTGTGGAGTCGGGGAGGTGTCAGGAGAGATTGTAATCCCTGGGCTTTTAACAGTAACTTCAAGTTAGAGACCTCTCCACAAGGGGAAAAAAAGCTCACACAGAAATGTGCCAAATTTTGCACTCAGTTTCAGGGCGTTCACAGACACACAGAAGCGCATCTGGAGCTCCTTCGTTCACAGAACGCAGGTTAAAAACCAATCTGAGGAACGTGAGAAGGCAGCGTCTGCTGACAATACTGGTTGTTGGGGCTTGAAGGCTCGGCTGTGGAGCTGGTGTGTGTGTGTGTGGGGGGGTCTCAGGAGAACACGCTGCGATGTCCAACATCTGATGGAGCCACGACCCCCGAGGGTCCACTAGGAGGACGCCTACTGGAGCGGCGGGCGCTGTCCACGGAAAGTCCGTGAGGCAGCGGTCATCCAGTGGCTCGGGGTGTGCAAGGCGAGAATGGCGACGAGACTTTCCCAGCTCCGGGGAGGCCCGACTGGATGGCCTCCGGGCCCGTAGAGTTACAGGATCCCGTCTTCGACACACCCGGTCAGTTCACTTGGAGGCGCGCACGCGCAATGGGACCCCCGTCTCACCGCCACCCAGCCCCAGGCGGCTGCCATCCCGCCGCAGGGCACCGACTCCCATGAGCCTTTGGGGGCAGTCTCCGAGCGAACGACGGAAGCAGCCGCTCTTGGTTTCCGATTGCGGCTGCCTGGCGACCCGGAAGTGTTCCCATTTTGCGTCGTCGGGGCTCGGCGGCGACCGGGCTCGGGCAGGCGTACCACCATGGGGTCGTCGAAGAAGCACCGCGGGGAGAAGGAGGCAGCCGGAACGACGGCTGCGGCCGGTGCTGGGGGCGCCACCGAGCAGCCGCCGCGGCACCGGGAACACAAAAAGCACAAGCACCGGAGCGGCGGCGGAGGCAGCAGCGGCGGCGAACGGCGGAAGCGGAGCCGGGAGCGTGGGGGAGAACGCGGGGGCGGACGGCGCGGGGCCGAGGCCGAGGTCCGCAGCGGCGCGCACGGGCGGGAGCGCAGCCAGGCAGAGCCCGCCGAGCGGCGCGTGAAGCGGGAGAAGCGCGATGACGGCTATGAGGCTGGTGAGTGGCGGGTCAGGGCGGGCCGGGCTCCGGGCGGGGGGTCCTGGGGTGTGGATGCCCAGCACCCCAGGTGAGGCACCCCCTCAGGCTCTCTTCGTTAGTGCTTAATAAAAGGCCTCCCGAAGGCTATTTGGGATTAAAGTTTGTCTTTCTGTACTAAGGCCGGTGGTGATAAGAGATTTTCCATTTTCCTCAATTGGCATATCACAAGCCGTCAATAAATGAGTTGAGTGAATGAATGAATGAAATGGTACCATCATGTGCAGACGGAAGAAGAAACCTGGTATTGGGCAAATCGTGTAGGGTTCATAGCAGAGATAAGAGGCTGTAAGATAGGCAGGGGTCCGCACATGAAGGGTCCTGTAGGCCCCGTTAAGAATTTTGTTCTGAGGGTCCTAGGGAGCCATCTATTTGAGCTGGGGAGTTGATACTCATTTTGCAAAGGTAACTATTGATAACTGGGTCAAGGGTAGTCAACACTGGAGGCCAGGTGAGAGGGCTGATGGTAGCCTGCAGAGGGCAGCAGCAGTGGGATGGAGAGATGTGGACAGACTGAAGAGGTGTTTTGGAGGAGGAATTTACAGATCTTAGTACTGGATGAGGGTGGGAAGGAGAAGAAGGAATCAAGGATGCTTTCAATTTCTGTGCCAGCAGCTAGGTGGGTGGTAGTGTCATTACTGAAATTGCGGAGTTTGCAAAAGGAGCCGACTTTGGAGGCGGAGAGATAATGAATTTAGTATTGGAGTGCCGCATTTGCTGTGCATGAGAAACCCGGGTTTGGGCTGCATGGAGCCTTTTGGGAGTCATGAGTATTTAGATGGCAAATGAAGTACTCTTAAGAGAGTGACAATTGAGGAGCCACGTCAGTAAGTGGAACTCGAAATATGCTAATATTTTAGTAGTAGGTGGAGCAAGATGTTATGTACAAGGAGATATAATATCCAAAAAAGCAAGAAAACTGTACAGTCTTGTATCATGGAAATTGTGGGCAGAGAGTATTGTTAGGAGTGATCAACAGTGTCACGTGCCACAGGAGAGCTCAGCAAAACCAGAGCTGAAAAGAATCTGTTGGCTTTAGAAATAAGGAGGCTGGTGACCTTGGAGAGAGCTGAGAGAAGTTGGGATTCAGAGCCCAGTTGAGAAAAAAGGGGAAGGAGGGAGGTTTTCGGGTAAGGATGCAGGAAGGATGAGTATGCTGTGGCAGCTGGTTGGGAGCCCCATCTGATGGCGTCTCCATCCAGCTGCTGTCTCTGGTGTTCAGTCAAGTAATATGCTATTTGTGAAGTGGATGGAGGAGGTCTGAAATGCTTCTTTATCCTCTGTGACCCCAGCATCCATCACAGAGCAGCTACCCGTGTGTTGCTTGACTGCAGGAATTGCAGAGGAACACAGTCATGCTGCCAACACATTCCCTGCCCTGTGGGGAGGAGCAGACCTAGAAATGACTGACTGTGCCGTGCAGTTCAGAGCAAAGCAGTTCATTTTGATCAGTAACTCAACAGGATTTCATGGAGGAGGTGGCATTTGATCTTTGCATTTGCGTAGGATCTCGGCAAGTCAGAGGGAGGCCAGGGAGGACAGTGCAGGGTGAAAACATTGAATACACAAAAGTGAAGAGGTATTGAAGTGAGGGCTGCAGAAAGTTGGACCCTTTGGGTCAGGGAAGGAAAGTATATAGAGAGGTGGGGTTCTTAGAGACTGGGACTTGGGGAGAAGGAGCTGCTGGCTGGAGGAGGGCTGCTGCTGAGTGGCCCCTCAGCAGAGTCCAGGCACTGGTGAGGGGCCCTCATCTTTGGCCCTGCAGCTGGAGCCAAGGATGTGGCTTCTTGGCCCTGTGTTCTCCTGAGGGCCCCACACAACACTTCTTGTCATTCCAGCTGCCAGCTCCAAAACGAGCTCAGGAGATGCCTCGTCACTTAGCATTGAGGAGACCAAGTAAGTACCGCCTCCCTTGTGTTTCTCCTCGTTTCTTCTGATACGGGGCTTCTGGGGCAGCTTCTTGTGGAGGCTTTCCCACACTAAAGTGTTCTGTTTGGAGTTGGAAGTGCCATTTAAGTTACCTTCACCAATTGTTCGAGTATAGAAAGGGACACAAAGATCCGAGAAGGATGGCGATCCACTGGTTAGGGGCAGGCCAGGCCTTGCACCCTTGTTCCCTGATCTGGAGGCCAGTGCCCTCCCCAGTGCCCTAGGCTGCTTGAGTCAGGTCTTGCACTTGCGACCACTCAGTCTCGTTCTGTTTTCACCCCCATCTGTCCAGAAATGCATTTGATGGCCCCACTTCTTTGACAGCTTCTAACATGTGTATCTCTGGTCTTCAGTAAACTCCGGGCAAAGCTGGGGCTAAAACCCTTGGAGGTCAATGCCGTCAAGAAGGGTGAGTGTTGGGCTAAGGGCCAGGGTACAGGCGGGTGTTTGGTTAGGGGAGAGAGGCCATCTGAGAGGGTCTTTGAAGAAAGTGGAATAAGGGCACAGATTGCGCACCACCTGGTGGTGGCGTGTGTGCTTGCTGATAGGCTCAGGGCCCCTCCTTGCTGTCAGAGCGGGCATCTGGGACTCAGCTTATTCTTTAGACTTGAGTAGTTGGCACTGCATGCTCACCCTGCCTAAGAGGTATCATTAGCTGGGTTGAGGAATGTGCACAGTTGTTGCAAACTGATCTGGGCTTCACAGGGGGGTCACTGTTTTTTAAAAGCATGACTTGAGGGGCTTTGGAAGGTGTAGAGGGACCCGTCATGCTGTGTGGGCTGACACGGAAGGGTGGGGGTGTAGGGAGGTAAAGGACTCATCCCCCTCTCCTGCCTCTTCTGGCGCCCTGAGCTGGAAGGGGGCAGGGTGAGTGGCTCCCTCCTTTCCCCACCAGCCATGGGCAGGCATAGCCTCATGTCTGGGCCCCCCTTCCAGAGGCGGGCACCAAGGAGGAGCCCGTGGCAGCTGATGTCATCAACCCCATGGCCTTGAGACAGCGAGAGGAGCTGCGGGAGAAGCTGGCGGCTGCCAAAGAAAAGCGTCTCCTGAACCAAAAGCTAGGGTGAGGGGGCCCCCACCAGGGCGGGCAAGGGAAGGGCCAGGTAGGCAGCCAAGGAGCTCCATGAGTCCAGGTGGGGAGCAGAAGCTCAGTTCCCGGAGGGTTACTTTCTTCCTCTTCAGGAAGATAAAGACACTGGGGGAGGATGACCCCTGGCTTGATGACACTGCGGCCTGGATCGAGAGGAGTCGGCAGCTCCAGAAGGAAAAGGACTTGGCAGAGAAGAGGGTGAGCACGTGGCAGCTGAGGGTGGTTGCTCAGTGCGTCTGGTGGCCTGACTGGCCGGTGAGGCAGGAGGCTCGCCCTTGGGTGGTACGCCTAGGCTCAGACAGGGAGGAGGTCTGTGGTCAGCGGCGTCCGCTTGGATTCTTAGTGACTTGCCTAGAAGGCCTGCTCTTTTTGACCTCCCGCCTGGTGAGCCCTGCGCATCCGGTGAAGCTGAATGGCCTGAGGTCAGAGGTCACCCTTCCTCCCTGTCCCATAGGCCAAGCTGCTGGAGGAGATGGACCAGGAGTTTGGTGTCAGCACCCTGGTGGAGGAGGAGTTTGAGCAGAGGCGGCAGGTGAGGCCAGGGGGGTGGTGGCTGGGGGGTGGGGTGGGGAGGCACTGCTGTCCTTGGTGCCGGGATCCTGAAGCTGGGCAGGCCAGGACTCCTGAGTGGCGGGGTCTTCCTCCTCCCTTCCAGGACCTATACAGTGCCCGGGACCTGCAGGGCCTCACCGTGGAGCACGCCATCGAGTCCTTCCATGAAGGGGAGACTCTGATCCTCACCCTCAAGGACAAAGGTAGGTGGACCTCAGGTGTCCTGGTTGGGGGCACAGGCACTGCCGAGTCAAGGGCCGGTGTGAGTGGCCCCGCCCCTGCCCTGTCCCCAGGCGTGCTGCAGGAGGAGGAGGATGTGCTCGTGAATGTGAACCTGGTGGATAAGGAGCGGGCAGAGAAAAATGTGGAGCTGCGGAGGAAGAAGCCTGACTACCTGCCCTACGCAGAGGACGAGAGTGTGGATGACTTGGCGCAGGCAGGCCGCGCAGCGTGGGGGCTGGGAGGTGGTGGGGACTGGTGGCTCCTCAGGGCCGGCCCGGGTCCCGACCTGTTCCTCTTGCCTTGCAGCAAAAACCCCGCTCTATCCTTTCCAAGTACGACGAGGAGCTCGAGGGCGAGCGGCCTCACTCCTTCCGTTTAGACCAGGGCGGCATGGCGGATGGCCTGCGGGAACGGGAGCTGGAGGAGATCCGGACCAAGCTGCGGCTGCAAGCGCAGTCCCTGAGCGCGGCCGGGCCCCGGCTCGCCTCTGAGTACCTCACGCCCGAGGAGATGGTGAGCCCCGCGGCTCCCGCCCACGCTCTGTGATTGGGGCCGTGATTCCTCCCCCTCGGGTCACTGCTGCGAGAACAAGCTCAGGAGGGAGGCGGGATGTTCGTAGGGTGCGTGCCCTCGTTCTGAGCAGGAGGTGGTAGCTCTG